CCCGCGCCGGGGCCCCCCGGCCAGGTCCGTGCCCGCCGCGGGGCTGGCACTCCGTGGGCGGCGGCGTGGACCTGCGATGGTCGTTAATGCGGCTCTGTCTGCATGGGGAGGTTGGTCGTTTCTGAGCTGATTGGTTCTGCAGCTTGGAGGTGTTATTTCTGCCGTCTGAAGGTGGCGAGGTCTCGGACACATTTCTAGCTTCTCCACTGAACGTCCATCTTCCATGGCTAGGTGACAGCGGCACTGTGTGGCTGCGATCTGTGTGTGCTGTCTGTCCCTCGCTGGGCTTGGCTGGAGACACAGGTGGAGGCTTTACCAAGCAGCAGCACACCGGGGCCACCCACGTCCAGGTCGCCGGTGGGAGTGCCGCCATCCGAGCACGTCTGGGCCTCTGCTGTGGCGTCAGGACACGCCGCCCCCATGTCGGCCCCCATGTTCTTTGCGAAGAGTCTTAGGAAAATTGCTAGTGGTGACAGAGCACAGTTAAGGACACGTCCCTGCTGTGGCCCGACCACGGCTGTGGGGCTGGCCTGGCTGCGCTCCTTGGGTGGCCGTCACTTTGCGAGTCTCCCCTTCAACGTCTGTGGCTGTCCCACACGTGCTCCCTTTTCCTTGTTCATAAACACTTGGAGACCTAAGTCGTCAAAGAAAGAATCCCGACATTTATCAGAAGGATGTTGGGAAACAGAAGGCTCAGAACCTGGGTGTGCCGTTACAGTTTAATGGTTGCGTGACAGTTTAGGCCAGTTCAACCCTAGTGACATGGAAGCCGTGTCTTGCTGTGTCTGTCTCTTGATTTTCCTCCTTTATTTACCCTGTAGATCGTGTTGCCACCCCACCTGGAAAGGGTACGGGAGAAGCTGGCGGAGAACATCCACGAGCTCTGGGTGATGAATAAAATCGAACTTGGCTGGCAGTACGGCCCGGTACGTCATCTTGAAATTCACTTTCAGCTTCCGTTACTATGCCTTTCTGAAAGACAGCGTTTTTTCCTTACTCTGCTGCGGGCAGCTGGCTGACTGCTTTGGCTTTCCCTGGCGGGACTGACAATGCTGAAGACCCCCGAAGGCTGGCTCGGCTGCAGACAACTGAAGACTTCTCGGTCTTTAGTGAATGTCGTGTTTTCAAATCAAGGTTGACATATCTGGACAATGGGCACCAATTTCTAAGACATTTAAGAACACATTGAAATGGAGGCTGGAAACTGAACCCCGAGGCACTGCCCCGGTGCTCGCCCGGTGTCTGTCATAGTTCCAGACAGACACAGCAGCCACAGTGAGGCAGGGCTCATGGGGGCGGCTGGGCACGATGGCCGCTGAGGGTCTCGGTCATAGCTTGGAGCGTGTGGATGCAGACACAGCACGTCCTAGCGGCCCGTGCCGGCCTGCAGCGGGGCTGTCTGACACTGGGGTAACACGGCGAGTCCGGGGCTTTCATGGCAGCACTGCCTCTGGAACTGAGGCCTCCCTGGAGACAGACCTGACACAGCACAAAGTGGACGGCAGCTTCTCCCTAGTGCGCTCCTGAGCCTGGATTCAGCTCAGCGTGGTGGCCCTTGTGAGAAGCGCCTGGATTGTGCTGACCGACTTCCTCAAGGCTGCAGAGTGGCCGCGAGAACGAGGTCGCCCACGGGGTGCCGCGAGCCCCCAGCTCTGAGAGTGGTCCTCGGTCCTGTCAGCTGATGTCTGCAGGCAGTTGAGACGTCACTACCAGTGACCCCACGTTGCCGCCACGGCTTCTTACACAGGAGTCATGTCAGTTAAGCCCGTCCTTGAGGGCCCACCACGCTCCTTTGGAGCAATCAGAGGACAGCAGTGCTCACGTCCCTGCTCCTGGGCCTCGCCTTCCAGGGCAGGGGGACAGATAGTTCCCCGATGAGCAAGTCTAGGCTGTCAGCCGTGGTCAGTTTATAGTCAGAGAACATCGGGGAGGGAGAGTGGGGGGCTCCTCACATGAGGGGCAGGCCAGCAGGAGCCTCGCTGGGAAAGGTAGGTTTGGGCAGGTGCTTGGCGGGGGCAGGAGGAGGCACGAGCTGGCCTGGCCCAGGGCTCCCCCACCTCCCCGGCCCTGGTGGAGGGAGCAGAGGCGCGGGGAGTCCAGTCGAGACCACAGCCCCTTCTGTGGCCTCTACAGGAGGCAGGGCAGGGGGCACCGGGCCCTACCCAGCTCTGTCTGCGCTGCCCCTTCCCCGCACGCGGCCGAGTTGCCAGTGCGGAGTCTGACGTGGACTCTCAGCCCGGCCGTCCTGTCCTGTTTCAGGTCAGAGATGACAACAAGAGGCAGCACCCATGCCTGGTGGAGTTCTCCAAGCTGCCCGAGCAGGAGCGCAACTACAACCTGCAGATGTCGCTCGAGACCCTGAAGTGAGTCACGCCGCTCCCCTTCCGGCCGCCTTCCGGGGAGGGGCCAGGCAGGCAAGGCGGGCAGTGGCATCGGACATGGCAGACCTGGCCTCGGGGTCGGCACGGGCGTTCATCCGTGTTCCCCGAGGGTGCCCGCGGTGCCTGTGGAGTTAGGGATGCTAGGATCTGCAATCTCAGCAGGCAGGCCCACTGTGTGGCCGACGCGGGGTTGCTGGTCTGTGACAAGGCAGATACTGTGAGTGTAGAAAGTTCCACACCAGTGAAATTTAGAAAATTTTATGCAAACTTATGGCAACACGTTTAGGTCTACTGAATCTAAGATTTGATTGCTTGATTGATTTATATATATATTTGACCAGAAAGGGGTAGAGTGAAAGAGAGAAGGGAAATGAGGAAGCAAGCTGCCAGGTCCGGGACTCGAACTGCAGTTAACCACGTGGGAGTCCAACGCCCTTAACCACCATACCACTTGCTGGCCCCAGAATACTTAAAATGTATACTCATGTCTGTCTTCATCTGGAAAGTATATCCTCTAACTACCCTACTGTATTCTGTCAGATAACCAGACCAAAACGGGCTGCGGATTGAACGGCAGCTCGCCGTTCGCCGCAGGCCGTTTGAGAAATGCTGATGCACAGTGTTTAAAGATTCCGAATAAAATAGTTCCGCAGCTCAGCTTTCCTGCTGGATGTCTCGAACTTGTAACTGCCGGCCGGGCTGCGGCCTTGGCCTCTGGACCGCCTTGAGCACAGTGCCTCCTGCAGGGAGCATCGGCCGCGCACTGGGGGCCCGCAGCGAAGCTGGCCCTGCTCGAACTGCAGTTAACCACGTGGGAGTCCAACGCCCTTAACCACCATACCACTTGCTGGCCCCAGAATACTTAAAATGTATACTCATGTCTGTCTTCATCTGGAAAGTATATCCTCTAACTACCCTACTGTATTCTGTCAGATAACCAGACCAAAACGGGCTGCGGATTGAACGGCAGCTCGCCGTTCGCCGCAGGCCGTTTGAGAAATGCTGATGCACAGTGTTTAAAGATTCCGAATAAAATAGTTCCGCAGCTCAGCTTTCCTGCTGGATGTCTCGAACTTGTAACTGCCGGCCGGGCTGCGGCCTTGGCCTCTGGACCGCCTTGAGCACAGTGCCTCCTGCAGGGAGCATCGGCCGCGCACTGGGGGCCCGCAGCGAAGCTGGCCCTGCCGCCCCCTGCTGGAGCGTGCTGCCCCCGGCGGTTGGCGAGCCGGGCTCTTGAACCTCCTACTCCCGTTTGCGGGGCGGGGAGCAGACAGGAGCGGCATTCCACATGTAGCACAGGGAGGGCCAGGAAGTCTCGGAAACGTCCAGAGCGTGTGAGACTCTCCTTTACCCTCCCCATTGCCACCTGGGCTTGCTTGCAGGGTTACTTCTCCCCGCCCCTCCGGCAGGGTGAGACGGCACCCTGGTCACCAGATGTGAGGGCGTGGGGCAGGGGTCCCCTCCGAGACACCTCCCGGTCCTGGAAACGAACAAGCCGGGTTCGAGGAGGGCAGGGCCTGCTAGTGACCTCGCAGCCAGGTCAGGGCAGAGGGGGCAGAGGGGGCAGAGGCGGCGGCCCGGAGGCACGTGAGGGTCCGGTGTCCTCGCCGTCACGAGAGCGGTGCGTCTGCCCGGCTCCCTGGCAGTGCTGTCTCTCACTTTGACCACACCGTGTCCTCACGTAAATTCCTGTGGCATTGGCGACTGATGGCCAAGAGTTACTCCAGAACTGCCCGAACTGTGGGCTGACGTGAGCGGGGTCTGTGGCGCTTCTTCCCTGACGGGCCGTGGCGCTGGCAGCCCGGCAGATATGACTCCCTCCAGCTTCGAACTGCCCCGTGTGTGGCCGGCGCAGCCTCCTGCCCTCCAGAAGCGCTGGTCCTGTGCGTGGCCGCCAGGTGTGGTGCAGACGGAGCCAGTAGCGCACCTGGTGCCTCAGTTTCCGCCCCAGCTCCCACCTGGGATCCGAGGTCCTAGTTCTGAAGTAGCTCACGTCTCAGGAATCAGAATTGTAATGATCTTAGTCCACGCGTAATGTGCCCACGCTGTTTCTCTGGGGCCACGGCCAGGTGTTTTCCTTGCTGACTAATTTTACCCTGAAAATTTCTCTGAGGAAGTGTGGTGTGCGCGTGTATGTGTGGGACAGTGGCGGGGAACTGGGGACTCGGGGACATGGGGACGGGGACGGGCGGGGTGCCAGGTGTGGGAGGCCTCACCTTACGTGAAGAGCAGGCTTGCCCCCCCTGGCAACGCCTGTCCGGTCTGACCCTTCGTCCCCGGGCTCCCACTCACTCTGCACACAGTCTGGGCGGTTCTTACACCCCCAGCCCTCGCGGGCTCACAGGTGCTGGCGGCTCCCCGAGGTGCGTCTTCAGGCCACCTGCCCTGAGCCTCACACGTCTCTCCCTGGAGCCTGGGAAGCAGCGCCACCAGGGTCCATTCGGGGCGGCCCTCCGCAGTCCTCCCGCGCCCCTGCTCCTGTGCCTCCTCTGTCACTGTGACCCAGCAGAGCCCTGCTGACCGTCCCGCCAGCCCCTTCCTTCCTCAGGGCAGCCCAGAAGTGCTCACAGCACCCCCGTGTGGGAACGGCGTCCCATCCTGTGTGGTGGCCGGCGGGCTCTCGTCCCCACGCACTGGGTGCTGGACCTGTGCCTGAGAGCTGACGCTCCCGCCTGGCCCTGCCCCCTCTCCATGCCCTCTCAGTCATTGGGCTCCTCCCCTTGTCCTCAGGTCCTGCTCGGCGAGAACCCCCCTCCCCAAGGGTACCTGTAGTCTCACAGCTCTCAGTGAGGCCCCGTGCCTCCCGAGGGTATTTACCCCTGCTTTCCGGCTATGCTGGATGCTCTGGGAAGGCAGGGCCCCGGGCTCTTTTTAGATTAAATTTTTAATTTACATTTAGCCACTATACATCTCTAAAATGCTCCACCCAGATCTTCCCAGCACGAACGCAGTGCTTATTAACCAAGTCAAAGACATTATTACCATATACACGCATCGTCATGTACACACATCACCATATACACCCAGATCTTCCCAGCGTGAATGCAATGCTTATTAACCAAGTCAAAGACATTATTACTGTATACACACATCGTCATGTACACGCATTGTCATGTACACACATCGTCATGTACACACATCGCCATGTACATACATCGCCATATACACCCAGATCTTCCCAGTATGAATGCAGTGCATTTTAACCAAGTCAAAGACATTATTACCGTATACATGCATCATCATGTACACACATCGTCATGTACACACATTGCCATGTACATACATCACCATATACACCCAGATCTTCCCAGTATGAATGCAGTGCATTTTAACCAAGTCAAAGACATTATTACTGTATACACGCATCATCATGTACACACATCATCATGTACACACATCGCCATGTACATACATCGCCATATACACCCAGATCTTCCCAGCGTGAATGCAGTGCTTATTAACCAAGTCAAAGATTATTACCATATACATGCATTGTCATGTACACACATCGTCATGTACATGCATCACCATGTACATGCATCGCCATGTACACATATCGTCATATACACACGTCATATACCTACATTGTCATATACATATACACACATCATCACATACACATGCATCATCATATACACACATCATCATATACACACATCATCACATACATACATCATCATATACACACATCACGATATACATGCATCGTCATATACACACATTGTCATATACGCACATAGCCATGCATGTATGTGGCTGTGTATGTACACGGCCACGTATGTTCATTACTGTGCATGTACATGGCCATGTTTATATGTTGCCATGCACACATGTTACCATGTGCATACATGGTCATGTACATACATTGCCATATATTTACGTTGCCATTGCCATGTACACACATTACCGTGTACATACGGTGCTGTGTACATACATTACCATGCACACACAGTGCTCTGTACACACATTGCTGTGTATACACATTACTGTGTGCATACATTACCGTGTACATGCAGTGCCATATACATACATTGCCATGTACGTACATCGCCATATACATACCTTACTGTGTACACGCACTACTGTGAATGTACATTGATGTGTACATATTACATATACATATATTTCCATTACCATGTACATGCATTGCTATGTACATGCATCATCATGTACACACAGTGCCGTGTACACACAGTGCCATATGCATATGTTACCATCACCAGAGGCATTGTCGTATGCCCTGGTTGCCCATAGCCTGAATCACACCTTCTGCTCTGTAGCACCCACAGTTGGCCTCCCTGCTGTTGTAGGCTCCCATCTTTCAGTCTCGGCCGTAGAGCAGAGACCTTCGTGCATATTGAGCAGGGACGTGCAATGCCTCTCTGTCAGTCTGGCTTACTTCGCTTAGCAGTACATCTTCCGTATCGTTGTTATGGTTAAGTAGTGCTTCGTGGGGTACACGTGCCGCCTAGTTTTGGTCCACACGCCTGTCCTTGGACATTCAAGTTCCCTGGGCCTGTAGACTCACCAGCTCGGCCGGCACTTGGCAGTGCGTGTCGTGGCAGTGCGTGTCTGCGTGACACTGTCCCACCCGCTGGCCCAGGCCCTCCAGACCCGTACGTCGTGATGTAAGGTGCGCACGCTCTCTAGATGCACGTGGGGGTGTGCTGCCATGTTTTGTGATAGCAAAGAATGGACTTAACCTTGAAGAGCGGGGCCGGAGCACTGGTTAAAATGTGGCGTTTGTAAATAGCGGGGTGCTTCAGAGCGGTTGGAGAGCATACCCAGCCCCACGTGGAAGAGTAGTGGCCCTCAGCTCGCACTGCGGACTCGCTGGGGAATCCGAGAAATGCCCTGGCTCCCTGTGCACTTGGAGTGTGACGGGCCACAGCAGCACACACACGAGGGGCTGGAGGAAGCCTGTGGGAAGTACAGTCACGGTCCAAGTGCGTTTTGGTGAGAACGGGAACCCACGCATAGTTCTGCACAGGACGCGTTTTCCACGTGCGCCAGGACCGCATGGCACGTGCACTGGCTTGTCCGTGTGCAAACTCTGCAGCAGGTGCCACTGGCGGATGGTGTCCCAGGGAGGGATGCAGGCCGGGGAGGAGGTGGCAGGGGATGCACTTTTCAGTGAATTCCTCTTGTACCATTTCAGCCTCCAGCATCTTGCCCCGTGCCCGGGACTAAGAGATGGAGGTCGGTGCGTTCTCCTCTTTTAGGGACAAGGCTCTGGCGTGCTGTCAGGACCGGCGTTGGCCTCTTTCTGTGGCTCTGCCGTGTGGATACTGGACTCGACCTGGCAGGAGTTGCTGCAGCCGTCTCTGCTTGTGTTTTCCAGGACATTGCTGGCTCTGGGCTGCCACGTGGGCCTGTCAGACGAGCACGCTGAGGAGAAGGTGAAGAGGATGAAGCTGCCCAAGAAGTAAGGCAGCTCAGCGATGTCGGGTCTGTGAGCTTTAACTCCGGGACTCCTGAGGGCCGGCGGCCACCCTTGCCCACAGGCTCTTCAGAGTCAGGAATTTAAGTGATGTTTGGAGCTCCGCGTCCGCCCAGGATGCTGGTCTCTATCTCATTGCAGAGGAGAAAGCAGAGCTCGGAGCCCTGGGAGTCTGTTGTAAAAAGGCGTCATTTCCCCGTGTGTGTGTGTGTGTGTGTGTGTGTGTGTGTGTGTGTGCGTGTGCGCGAGAGTGCATGTGTGCATGAGACCTGGCCATGTCGCGTGCGTGTGTGTGTGTGTGTGTGCGCGCGCGCGCGTGTGCATGTGTGCATGAGACCTGGCCGTGTCGCGTGCACGTGTGTGTGTGTGTGTGTGTGAGAGAGAGAGAGCGAGAGCGAGCACCCTGGCTGTGTCCTGCGTGTGTGTGAGACCTGGCTGTGTCCTGCGTGTGAGAACATGGCGCCACATGTCACCATATTGCTAGTTGACCTGATGTGGCTTTCCATTTTTCTGCCAAGAAATCATTTATAATTTTATTTGCTTTAACAAGAAGCTGCATTTGAGGAATAATTATGAAGTCAGCATTTCACCCATTTCAGGTGGGAGATGTGGGGGCTCTGGCTGCTGGGTCCCCTGCGTGCCACGGCCCTGTCCCACCTCTCAGACCTCCGCATCCTCATCTGCAAGGCAGCGGTACCCAGCTGCGGGGACGCGCTAGCCGTGAGCCAGTGCTCCGTGTTACCGCACGTGTTTATTCTCACCTGAATGCTCAGGCCCCCTTCTGAGCACAGGTATTGTGAACAGCAGGTCTCAAGACAGGGTCAGTGAGATCCTGGAGACAGAAACAGGGTGTCCCCCGTGATCGCCATCGGTCGCCCCAGGTAAACACAGACTAGGAAAACACGCACTTGCTGTGCAGACCCAGACTCTCAGGCAGCAGTCTGTAAACATTCACTCAGGTGCTCTCATGTATAAGTTACATGATCACTGCGCCCTTTTTAAAATTACATTTCTTCATTCATTTTATTATTTACAGATTTAATCGCTATGTATCATTTAGATTGTAAACTTTACCCAGTGTGACACACATCTCAGTCCAGTCCAGTTGAGAACATACGCATGTCCTCATCAACAAATAATAAACCATACTTGCGTCCCACAAATGCCTTACCTCTCCATTTATTTTCCCCAAAT